ACAGTAGTGGTGGGTGAGTAAATAATTCAGGGCCTCCTCTGATTTTACAGCTTGTACATTATAACGACAATTAGCTTAGGTCCTGTTGGGAGCCCCATGTTCACCAGCATACTTCTGATCTTTGACCTCAGCAAATTCAATCCACCTTTAACAATCCTTTTGCTTGGGCGGCGCAAGAGAGGCCCTCAACGACAGTCGAGAAATCAATAGAAAGCTAAATGCCGTACAGTGAGTGAAACTTTGTTGGGGTAATAACAGCAGAGGAATAAAAATTTGTCTAAATGAGCCAGCCAATACTGTTTTCCATTCCGAACAGCTTTCCCTGATGAAGCCTGACAACCTTTTCAAGAAGAGTTAGTTTGAGCTAACTGCACCACAGTGAGTAATGGAAAGGAGATTATTCCAGCTACAGTGTGAAAACCTGTTGGACTATATAAACCGAAATGTGTTGATACAGATTTGGTCTCCTAACGCTCTGGGCCTGGTCGTGGTGCAAGCAAGCACACACTTTGATATAAGCTCCAGAGTAGGTTGCTGACATCCTGGGCCAGCATTACCTGCAAGCAGTGGAGGCTGATTTCTTAGGGCAGATGAGCTGCTGACCCACCAACTTCAGTCTGTCATCAGCCTGTTGACACCTGCTTGCCTTACTAGCAGCTACTTAGGGAGCAACACTGTCATTTGCTGCCTCTGGCTCCATCTACTGTTGGCCTCCCTCCCTTCTACTCTACCAGATCTCAGTGGGCACCACCCACCATGACTTGTAATGATAATTTTATTATTTGTATCCCACCCCATCTGACTGGGTTGCCCTAGCCACTCTGGGAGAATTCCAGCATATATCAAAACATAATACAGTCATACCTCATGTTACATCCACTTCATGTTACGTTCTTTCGGGTTACGTCCCGCGGCGACCCAGAAGTACCAGAAAGGGTTACTTCCGTGTTTCGCCGCTCGCGCATGCACAGAAGCACAAAATGACATCACGTGCATGCACAGAAGCGGCAAATCACAACCCGCATGTGTGCAGACGCACAGCTGTGGGTTACGCTCTTTTCATGTTGCGAACGGGCCTCTGGAATGGATCCCGTTCGCAACCAGAGGTACCACTGTAAATTAAACAGGGAAGTTTTTAATGTTTGATGTTGTATGCATTTTTAATATTCTGTTGGGAGCCACTCAGAGTGCCTGGGGCAATCCAGCCAGATGGGTGGGGTATAAATAATAAATTCTTATTATAACATTAAAAACTTCCCTATGAATGGATGCCTTCATATGTCTTCTAAAGGTTGTATAGTTACTTATCTCCTTGACATCTGATGGGAGGGTGTTCCACAGGGTGAGTGCCACCACTGAGAAGGCCCTCTGCCTGGTTCCCTGTAATTTCACTTCTCGCAGTGAGGGAGCCACCAGAAGGCCCTCGGAGCTGGACCTCAGTGTCCAGGCTGAACAATGGGGGTGGAGACACTCCTTCAGGTATACAGCGTTGAGGCCGCTAAAGAGACCCCTATTCCCTTCACGGAGCCACAATTCCCAAAGTAGTTTAACAATAAGGGAACACTGGTTATTTGTAAGGGGAATAGAGGCCTCCACACAACTCTCAGCATCCTTAACAAACTACAGCTCCCAGGATTCTTTGGGGGAAGCCATCACTGTTTAAAGAGGTATCATACGCCTTTAAATGTATAGTGCAGATGGGACCTTACTATTTGGACATTGGGCACCTACCTGCTATTGGTATTTTGCAGGAGGGATTTGAGCAACTGGGAAATTTAGATTTGTGTAGTTAATGTGAACTTAAGCACTTTGCTTCTAGGACCACTAATCCACTTTTTAAAAAGAAACGCTCCCCCTCCCCACGGTATTCCCTTGTGTCGTGGAAGGCTTGTCGTTAGGAAGTTAGACAAGAGTTTAATGGCCTCTCTTGAGCAACAGAAAACAGGACCTTCCTGACTCTGCCCTGATACAATGGTGTCCAGTGCTACCTAGTGATTAGACTAGAGAATGTCACTATTCACACACATTGCACTGAACAACTCCCTGAAAGTCGGAATGAGCACTGAGCTTGAACATTTGTCCACGATGTGCTAGGTTTATCTTTGGAGGGAGATAGCGCTGCTTGAACTCAAGGGAACGTTAACACAAAACCATCTGCTTCTTAAGGCTTGAAGCTGCCAAATTCACCACCTCAGTTTAACCCATTTTGCAACCCTAATTATAGTTTTGACGTTGACTTAAGAGGGCTTGGATAGGTGGTCCTGGTAACTTTTCTGTTCTATTAGGGAAACAACCCACCACAAAAACCTTCAGCAACCAAATAAAGTATTATTTGGACATAGTAGGACTGAACCGTAGTTTGCTCATTAAGGCCTGCGCTTTGGAAGAGAAACCCATAAACAATTCTGTTCTCTCCCCCCCCCCCGTGCATTACAATTTGAATGTCATATTTGCGTAGCCAGCAAGTTGTTTGAAGAGCATGGCCGAGCAGGCACTGGAAACTCCCCCAAGACCACTGAGAATGTGCTTTTCGAGCGCTGAATTCAGAGAAGACATTTTACAAAGGGCAGCAATTAGCTGCTCCCATTTGCAAGCTGCTATTCACCAGGGGGCCAATTAAAATGGCATGGTGCTTGTTCGTCATAATTCAAAGCATCTTCCTCTCCCAACTTGGGCATTGTTAGTGCTTGCATCAAGTTTTCTTAAACACACTGCACAACCAGAAGTGGAAGGGGCAGGGATGACTGACTCTGTCCATTTCTATTTCTTTCCATTTCTTATCCCCATCCCCCACCCCCAGTCTTCAGTTCTCCAAATTTCTACATCAGTCTGAGGTTTGTTTTGTCCTTTAAAATCTTCATGAAAATCCACCAACATTCTACACATTTGTATGCAATTTTGCCAGATATACACATTTTTGCAAAGCAATTTCATGGACTTCCCCAGGAACCAAACCAGACCTTGTAGTCATCAGCTGAAGCCTTTCTTCAGGTGCCTCCTCCTCATGGCAACACAAGAAAGGGCCTTTTCTCTGGTGGCTCCCTGTTTGTGGAATGTTCCTGGCACCTTCATTGCATATCTTTAGGCATCAGGTGAAAACATTCCTCTTCTCCCAGGCCTTTGGCTAATTAACATGGCCTTTGAAATGTGTTTGTGGAAGCTGGTTATGAAATTGTTTCTGTTTTATTCTCTATTTTGTGTTCTTATTTTGTATCCTTATGTTGTGAACTGCCCTGTGATCTTTGGCTAAAGAGTGGTATGCAAATTTAATTACCGTATTTTCCGGCGTATAAGACGACTGGACGTATAAGACGACCCCCCAACTTTTCCAGTTAAAATATAGAGTTTGGGAAATACTTGCCGTATAAGACTACCCCTCTTCCAACGCACACCAAATAAAAATTTAAAAAACCAGTCTCCAGTCCAGCTCAGAAATCCGCTCCACTTCCCAGTGGCCGGAGGCTTCTGGGGCCAATTTTCAAGCGTATTTCTGCTTCATCTAGAGTGCTTGGTGTCCTCTGATTTAATTTGCTGTTGTTTTATCCTTTGGTGGGGAGTTGCTGCAGGAGCTGCTGCTGTAACCGGCATATAAGACGACCCCCAACTTTTCCTGGGTTAAAAAGTAGTCTTATATGCCAGAAAATACAGTAATAATGATAGCATTGAGAGGGGCTGACTGTTAGACCACTCTGGGAATTGTAGCTTAGTAAAGAGAATAGGGGGTCTTCCTAGCAATTCCCAATACTCTTAACAGTCTACAATTCCCAGGATTCTTTGGGTGAAACCATGACTGGTTAAAGTTGTATGATAGTGCTTAAAATGTATGGTGCAGTTGGGGCCCACCCAATAAACAAAGCCAGGCGACATTTTGCACATCTCTAGTAAATAAAGAAGGGACGCGGGTGGCGCTGTGGGTAAAACCTCAGTGCCTAGGGCTTGCCGATCGCATGGTCGACGGTTCGAATCCCCACGGCGGGGTGAGCTCCCATTGTTCGGTCCCAGCTCCTGCCCACCTAGCAGTTTGAAAGCATGTCAAAGTGCAAGTAGATAAATAGGTACCGCTTTATAGCGGGAAGGTAAACGGCGTTTCCGTGTGCTGCGCTGGTGCTGGCTCGCCAGAGCAGCTTCGTCACGCTGGCCATGTGACCTGGAAGTGTCTTTGGACAGCGCTGGCTCCCGGCCTCTTAAGTGAGATGAGCGCACAATCCTAGAGTCGGACACGACTGGCCCGTACGGGCAGGGGTACCTTTACCTTTAGTAAATAAAGAACGCAGATCACAGGGCCTAATGGACAGTATCACTCAATCCTCCTTATGATTTGACACTGAATCGAAAGTTTGCTCTGCCAAGTGAATTTCCCCACCCAGCTGAAATGTATGGAGCAGGGACCAGTTACAGATGACCCCCACGGAAAGAGGAAAGGGGAAATGTCTGAAGTGCTTCTAACGAAGTCTGTTGCCTTTTCAGTAGCTGCTTGGGAGAGGCTGAAAGCAACATACTTCCTGTCTTCTTAATGCTACATATGATGGTTGTTTACTCCAGGGACACCCACTTCCTCTGCTGAACTCCTCTTTCTCTAATTGCTCCAGTCAAGGGGAAAGAGCCTAAGGTGTTCTGGCATCTCCAAACCAAACAGCAAAAACTTATTTTTAGACACCCAACATTTTGCCTCTCACATGCTGACCTCACTATTCGTATCCCCGGCAGCAAACAAAAGCCTTTCCTTTACAAATCGTGGGCAAAGCAAACCTAAGCCAGTGTGGTGTAGTGGTTAAGAGCGGTAGACTCGTAATCTGGGGAACCGGGTTCGCATCTCCGCTCCTCCACATGCAGCTGCTGGGTGACCTTGGGCCAGTCACACTTCTCTGAAGTCTCTCAGCCCCACTCACCTCACAGAGTGTTTGTTGTGGGGGAGGAAGGGAAAGGATAATGTTAGCCGCTTTGAGACTCCTGAAGGGGAGTGAAAGGCGGGATATCAAATCCAAACTCTTCTTCTTCTTCTAATGGATTGTGGGAGTGATTAGCACTGCCTTTGGTAATTGCATTAGCTGCCAACGGGCCGCTGAGCTAAGTTCAAGGTGCTGGGACTGAAAGGCCACAACACCTCATATGGACCGGCCAGGTTCCGAGATTTTTGGGGGAAGCCCTTCTCTTGGTCTCTCACAGGCACACTTGTTGGGGACACGGAAGAGGGCCTTTCTGGTGGCTCTGAAATTCCCTCGAGAAGTTAGACTGGCTCCCTCCTTGTTGTCTTTCTGCCAGCGGGTGAATACCTACAAAACAACAAACAAACCTATGGTCAGGTAAAGCAACCTCAATAAACACACAAGCGGGTGAATACCTTCTTGTTCCAACAAGCTTTGGGGAATTGATTGCTTTTAACAAAAGGGCTGATGCAGTGCTGCTTTTATTGTAATTATATGTATTTTAATTGTGTGTGTGTGTGTGTGTGTGTGTGTGTGTGTGTGTGTGTGAATTATTGTTCCCCCCACCCCCAGGTTTTTAGCTGTTCTTATTTTATCTGTAAAAGGGACGTGAGTGGCGCTGTGGGTTAAACCACAGAACCTAGGATTTGCCGATCACAAACTTGACGGTTCAAATTCCCGCAGCGGGGTGAGCTCCTGTTGCTCGGTCCCTGCTCCTGCCAACCTAGCAGTTCGAAAGCACGTCAAAGTGCAAGTAGATAAATAAGTACCACTCTGGCAGGAAGTGGCTTAGTCATGCTGGCCACATGACCTGGAAGCTGTACACCGGCTCCCTCAGCCAATAAAATGTGATAAGCACCACAACCCCAGAGTCAGCCACAACTGGACCTAATGGTCAGGGGTCCCTTTACCTTTACCTATTTTATCTGTAAGCTGCCTTGAGTCTATGTCAAGTGGAAAAAGTGGGGTAAACATCATCATCATCATCATATAGCAACAACAACTTGTTGTTTATATGCCACCCATCTGACTGGGTTACTCCAGCCACACTGGGCGGCTTTCAACAAATTAAAACACAGTAAGTAAGACATCAAACATTCCAAACTTCCCTATACAGGGCTGTCTTCTAAAAATCAGATAGTTGTTTATTTCCTTGACATTGGATGAGAGGGCAAGCATCACTACTGAGAAGGCCCTCTGCCTGGTTACCTGCAATCTCACTTCTCACAGTGAGGGGACCTCCAGAAGGCCCTTGGAGCTGGATTTCACTGTCTGGGCTGAACGGTATGGAAGAAGGTTCTCCTTCAGGTATACAGTTGTATATAGTTTGGAACCAGGATACTTAAAACATTGTCTCACCCTTTATATCACTTACTTCCTCTTACTGTGGAACTCAATCCCACAGGAGGTAGTGATGGCCTTGGTTGGCTAAAAAGAGGATTAGACAAATTCATGGAAGACAATGGCTACTAGCCATATTGGCCATGTTCTACCTCCACTGTCAGAGGCATCATCCTTCTGAATACCAGTTGCTGGGACTTGCAGTGGGACAGAGTGCTGTTGTGCTCATGCCCAGGTTGCCGTCTTCCCGTGGGCACCTGGTCAGCCACTGTGGGAACAAGATGCTGAACTCGATGTTCCCCTAGACTGAGCCAGCAGGGCTCTTCTTAGGTCCTTAAATATCTGCAAAACAGGGTTGTTGCTGGACGGAGAGTCCTGTTTTGCATCCTCCAAGTCCTGTCCCATTACTGCAGCCACCGTTTTGTTTATTTCCAGTGTTCCATGAGGAAGCAACTTATGCTTCATTTATTTATGTCCTCCAGTAGAAAACAGACAAATGAAGCATAAAATAGCATTGTGTAACCCTGGAATGTCTTAAAATAGCCTTGTGCTTGGACAACGGTGCATTGACAGTCGTAATGTGTGCTCTTCAGATGATTTATCGGGTGTTGCAAAAAGTTGAGGTGATGCACAAAATGGAAGTGGGGTTGTTTTTCTCCAATAGCTTTACCTCCCCACAGAGAAGGAAATGATACATATGTGCTAACAGCAAACGCAAAGCAAAACAAACATCTGAATCAAATATAGATTACTTTGACTTTGCATTATTACTGTTCATCTTAAGACCCCACCTGCATCATGCATTTCAAGCGTTATCCCACCACTATAGCCTTTGTGGTTTCCCGAATAGCATTTTTTTAGAGAAACCTACCTAGATATGTGGAATGTTGATGTGCGTTTTAACCTGTTTTTAGTTTATCATTGATTTTATTTTTTAAAAAATAGTTGTTTTTAACTGGTTTACCAATCATTTTATTGTTTTATTTTTGCAAACTGCTTTGAGGTTCCTTGCAGTCGAATGATGTCAACATTTTATGAAATAAACCAATAAAATAAAAATCCTCATTGAAAATTCACCAGAGCGCTAGTGCAAATTTCTCTCAATATAAAGATTTCTCCGTGCCATTTTGAATAGCATTTTCTGCAAATGCAATGCACTGGTGTATATTGTTTTTTATTAATTCTAAAAGGTTTTAGGCATCCCTTTCCCTGTTTATATGCATTTTTTGTCACTGAAGAACTGCATTGCAAAATTCGGAGGAGAGCGAATTTAAAAGGATGACTCAGTTTGCGCATTGTTTCGAAAAGTGCAAATTAGGTTTGCCTTTAAATGCAAACGGAATAAGATTTCTGCCCCATCCCTAACCAGGACATACAATGTTACCATCATTTGCTAAACCTTGGTCCATTGCAAATTTGGGGAAAGGTCACTGGTAAAGCACCTGCTTTTCATGCAAAAGATCCTAGGTTTGATCCCTGGCATCTCCAAACCCTGGGGAGCCACTCCAAGTCAGTGTAGAAAATAATAATAATAATAATAATAATAATAATAATAATAATAATTTATTTATACCCCTTCCATCTGGCTGAGTTTCCCCAGCCACTCTGCGTGGCTCCCAATCGAGTGTTGAAAACAATACAGCATTAAATATTAAAAACTTCCCTAAACAGGGCTGCCTTCAGGTGTCTTTTAAAAATAAGATAGCTGCTTATTTCCTTGACATCTGATGGGAGGGTGTTCCACAGGATGGGCGCCACTACCAAGAAGGCCCTTGCTTTGGAGCAAGATGGACCAAAGGTCTGATTTGGTATAAGGCAACTTCCTATGTCCCTATTTTAAATAGGTACACTGACTTGGTACAAGCTGGGCTTCACATGCAACAAAACCCAAAAGGCTATCATACCCTCCAACATTGATGAAAATAAAGATGTTCTATTCCATAACAACCATAGTTTTACTATTTATACTCCACCCGTCTAACTGGGTTGCCCCAGGCACTCTGGGCGGCTTCCAACATATATCAAAGCATAATAAAGCATGAAACATTTTAAAAACTTCCCCATATAGGGCTGCCTTCAGACAGCTCAGGGGTCAGATAACTCCACAGCCTACAACATTTATCCGATGGAAATAAGGACAACCAAAGGGAAAATGGGACATTCTGGGATCAAATCAGAAACTGGGGCAACTTCTATAAATCCAGGACTGTCCCTGGGACACTTGGAGGGTTAGAGATGGATGTTTGATGATTGAGGAGATCATGACATTTTGACCAAAGCTTATGTGAAATTTTACAGCGGCACCATACACACAAAGTGAGTGTTTTGAAGATTACCTTTGTCTTTTGCTTCATCTGTGTCAGGGAAAGAAAGAAAAACAAGCATAGAACAGGTGATAATGTAAAATATGAGCTACGTTGTAGCAGAATGTTCACGTTTACTGCCCAGATCTATTGTTCTGTGCCCATTCTAACATTCACTGAATGTTCTCCTGAGCTTTTAGAATTCCACCCACAAAGGATTTAGCAGTGTTTATTGTCAAGCATGAATATGGAGTTAACTTCATAAGGACTTAACACGTAAAGTGATGTTTTGGCCCCTTGGTGATTTTCTTTTGCTAAAAAAAGAAGATTGATTGTGCTTATTGTTTTGATGCCCTCTGAAGCTTTAGATGGCAATTTAATTTGCACTGCTGTGCTCAAACAACTTCCCAGATCTTAATATATGACAGAAATGGATCCCAACATAACAAGTCTGACAGAGCCTTAAGAGGGACTGATTAAATTTCTGATAAACAGTTTTGCGGCTGTTTTTGATGTTATTGCAGAAGCTCACTCTCCAGCAGGCTTTTTGCATTTGCTACTGGAATGTGCAAATCTGATTATGCCCCTCCCCCCACACACACATTCACTGAAATAAACTAAAGTGTATTTAATGCCATAGAATATATGACCCAGCCTGCTCGAAAGGCTGACAGTTAGTTCCCCCAGTACAGGTTTCCAGGCCTCAATGAGAAAAACCAATTTGAAGCTCATTTGATTACTTTTTTCAATAAATGCGGAGGGGCTTTTTTAAATTTCAATGAAGTAATCAGTTTGGATTTCAATAAAAGTAATAGGTAAAAGGTAAAAAAGATAAAAGACCCCTGGACGGTTAAGTCCAGTCAAAGGCAACTATGGAGTTGCAGCGTTCATTTTGCTTTTCAGAGCAAGGGAGCCGGCATTTGTCTGAAGCTTTCCAGGTCATGTGGCCAGCATAACTTAACCACTTCTAACACAACAGAACACCGAGACGGAAGCCATAGTGCATGGAAATGCCATTTACCTTCCCACCACAATGGTACTTATTTATCTACTTGCACTGGTGTGCTTTTGAACTGCTAGGTTGGCAGGAGCTGGGACAGAGCAACATGACCTCACCCGTCACGGGGATTTGAACCGCCAAGTTTGTGATTGGCAAGCCCAAGGCACTCAGTGGTTTAGACCAGTGCCAATCTGGCAGAACAATATTTTTTTAAATGGTGGTGGTGGTGCCTGTCTGACCTTTTCTGAAAATCGAACCCTGCGTCACAACTGTCTTGCAACACTGGATGTAAGTGTGTCATTCTCCATGGTGGTGTTTTCCAGCATGGCTTTGATGGTGAATCCATCATTAGCTTGCTTCTTAGTTCCTTTGGACTGCAGAGAGTTCTAAAGGCCAGCTGAAGGGGTCTGCAGGGCTGCATCCAGCTCCCTAAGGTTCCACACCCCATATATGGGGTTTCCACCTTCCCACCACTTCCTAAGGCCCTTCCTGTGCACAACACCCCTCTGCTATGTCCTCTTCATTACTCTGCATGTTCTAGGGGACCAGTCACCTGGCAGAGCACATCATAGGTGTCAATATGATTTATGCACACAATGCACTTGGTTTATGTGCCATCCAAATGTGTTGTTTCTTTCAGCCAGAAAATAGTGGGTTCCTCCCCCCACCCAAGTCAATTTTAGGAATGGGTCTCAACTTGCATTGCATGTTTGTTTGTTTCTGCTCATTGACCACACATCGTCTTTTAATTACCTGGGTGCGGCGGAGGGGGAGGGAATCACATCGCTCCCAGTTTAAAACAAATGATATCTTAATAGGTGTAAACTTAATTGGGAAACTGTCTATGGGTTCGCTGGGGAGTGATTAACTGCAGTGGAACTCAGCGACTCAGACAAAAGCTGAAGTGACCGATCCAATGAGAGACCAGGCTAGCACATAAGAGATGCTTGAATAAATGATGCTAAGAAGGCATTTGTGTCTCTAACAGAGAGGTACAGAACTTGGAGAAGGAATTCTGCACCCCATGCCATTGTTTATGTCACTGAACAGTTGATTTTCCACAGGAAATTCGGCTCATGCAGAATCCGCCCAGTTCCACTTCCACTCTTGTTTTTCCACGTCTTTCTTCAAGTAAAAGCCTTGAATATTTTTGTGCACACAATAGTTGCACTTCCTCATTTGTTATGTGGACCAAAGACTGCATAAGCATGTGACATTTGGCAGCAGATTCCACCCTGCTTGCATGGGCTGGGGAAGGGAAGCACTTCCCAGATGAAAGAACATGCAGATTAAACAGAGCACAAGGTTTTTGCCAGCTGCTTTGGAACCCTGTTCTGTTTATCCGAAGGGCACATTTTGAGCCAAGTCCTACTTTTAATTGATTGGCCATGCTCATCCCTAACACCACTTTCCATTTGCAATTTAAGCATGACTGATGATGGCAACGGTGTGGAATTTCTCAGGTTTTCATTCAACTTTCACACTGAATTCACTTGAGAAAACATGCAAAGCCAGACTTGCCTCAAGATAATCTCTCTAGAGAAAAATCTCTCCTTTAATTCTTTGGTTCATCCAAGTGATTTGACAGAGTCCAGGGGGATGTTGAGACAAATGCATAAGGTGACCCATCATACTTCCTGATTCTCTGTCCCAACACATGATCAGAGACAAATATACTCTGTGCTCTAACAAAAGAGAGAGAGAGAGAGAAAAATCTAAGTCAGAAAAGAGTTAGCATCAGCCTTCCAAGAAGAGAAGTCAAGGTGAACCATCTTAGCTAAAACAGGAGTCTATTTCTGCTAATCTGTCCTATGCTTGTTTGGGGTGACATTTTCCTCTGAAACTCAGCTAGTTCAGGAGATGTTTGCCATCTGAGGGTTCCTCTAGACTGTCACTATTATTCAGGAGGGATTCAAGGACATATTGAAACTGGAAGCTTCTGAAATTAAAGCACATTGAAGTTCTCTAGCTCAATAACTCCACTCAAAAGCAAAAGAACAGAACTTTTTGCAGTTTGAAAAGTGACAGGGAAATGCCTTGAAAGTGTGCAATGGATGAATGATTAATGTAAATACCCTGCAAGCAAATTTGAATGAATGAAGGGCAAATTCTCAATATAACTGCCCTGTAAACCAATTAGAACAAATGTATAGTCTAACCGCCATGTGAGCTTTGTGCAAGCAAAGCAGAAGGAATGCTGAATATATATCTGGAAGAGCCCTGAGGTAAAGAATAAGACAGCAGTCATCCAAAAAGTCAAATACAGAAGCCTGCTTAAAGCTGGTGGTTGAAGCTTACTTCAGCACTGGTGATGGGCTAGCATTTTCCACCTCACCTGAGCCCAGGAGGGTAGCTTAGTGAGCAAAGGGCTGAACACACACAGTTCTGTCCTCCAAAGCCACTCTGCCCCTCCATGCCTCTCAGCACCTGCCACCTGTGGTGGCCACTGACCTCATTCCACCTAACAGTAGGGTAGGCCCTGCTCTAAAGAGCTGTAGAGTTAGAAACACACTGGTAAGGGCAGCTTTTGAGTCGAGCTCAACTTTCATCTGCTACCACCTCTTCTTTTTGCTTCTGACCTCAATTCTGTGCCCAGAAAACTTGGGTTCCACAATGTGACAGAACTGTGGATATATTGCTCCTTGTGGCTGACCTTTACCCTGCAAGCAGAATTAGTATGAGAAAGCATGTCGAAATGTGCTGCATAATTCAGCCTGGGGCAGGACCAACCTGCTAAGCACCTGATGAAAAACCCAAGGCAGGTTGTCCATCATCTCTCCATTTCACTGCAAGCACAATCACTGCCACTGACCTTGCACCCCTCTCCATCAACACTGCTGCTGCTGGTGGTGCTGCTGCTGCCAGGGCTGCTGAGCTTCCAGATTTGAAGGATGGGCTCTTACCACTTCTGGATGCAGTCCTGATCTTTCATCTTCGGTCCTCTCTCAGAGAAGTTGCCGTGGACACTGGTGTGGCCAGGGTGATACAAAACTGGCAAAGAAAACCAAAAACCCCAACCCTACAATGTATTGTATAGAGACACACTCAGTTTTCTGGATCACTAGCATTCCTGCAGGAGAAGTTTTGGGTTGCTTGTTAAAATGGAGAACAGTGAAATGCAGCCCACCTTCAGAGTTACTTTTATAATTAATTTCCCCTGATGAGTTTGTTTTCCTTCCACAACGTCTGTATATAAATGATTATCATCAGAAGCATTTATCTCACAGAATAGAATACAGTGCCATCATCAGATAAAAGCCATTACATATTCAGTCCTACTCTGTTCTACTGATAATAAAGCATTCCTAGATGAAGGTGACCTTTAAACAATAGGCTTATTAGTACCAGGACTTCAAGATAGCTTTTTCTTTTCTTTTCTTCTCTCATTACAAACCATGACGGGGAGCCGTTTAAAATTGAGGCTTTGATAATCTTTATGATGTGTCCCAGGCATTTTTCTTTAAGGTGGGGGGAACTGCAGTTTTTGTGTTGTCAGTTCCAAATTATGAGTGTTTTTTAAGTACAGATGGATCAGAAGTATGTTTTTGCTGTCAATTTTGCATGCGTTCTCTGCAGTTCTTAAAAAACCAAACTACCCTACATTAAAATTCATATTTGATATCTGAACATGGAGGTGACTGGACTGACCAAGAAAGAGATTTTGGGTCACGATGGAAAACCTGATGATCATTGATTCTATTAGGAAAGAGCTTGAAAATAAAACAGCCATGTTTGTAATGCCTCTATACAAATCTAAGGAGTAAACACACTTGGAATCCTGTGCACAGTTCTAGTTGCTGCACTACTAAAACGATATTGTATAGGTGGAAAAGCAGCTCAGAACATGAATCACAGCTTGTAGTAGACTGAGAGACTCGAACTCAAATGACAAGTCGTTGGAGCAACTTCTCTACAAGGAAAGAATACAACATTCTGGGCTTTTTTGTTAAAAGAAAAGGCAAAGAAGAAGGGGCATGACCGAGGTGTATAAAATTATGCGTTGTGTGGGGAAAGTGAACAGAGAAAAGTCTTTATCACATGCCCAGGGGTCTGGAGGGATGCTTCCCTACCACAATGAGATAAAATCCTCGCCTGCCTGTACTTTCTGAATTAAGTAAATTTGATTAATTTGTTTTGCAGTTCCTCCAAGTTGTTATATTAATAAATATAACCATTATCAAGCTTTGGTATCATGAGTCTTCTTTGAGGGTGTAGGAACAATAAGGGATGGGAATATCTACCTATTTCTGCTTCTCTCTATTTCTCATTTTGCCAATCTTAAATTCAGTTTGCAATTAAAAAAAGGAAAAATCCTCCTGAACATTATTGAACATTTTAGTGCAGGTTTCTCTGAATACACATATTTCTCTTGGCTGTTCTTGCCTACCATCCACGTTTTGCAAGTAACTTCCCTAATACGGCACAATTCTTTGTGTTATTTTCACCAAGTGATGCATCGCTGTGTACACTTTCCCCCTTAACAGATGGAGTTTTGTCCCCATTGTTTGACTGGGGAACTTTATTGCAAAATTCAGAGAAGTGCCAAAGGATTGTTTTGTTTCGGTTTGCATACTGCTTCCAGGAGTACGAAGCATGTAGTTTCAAATTAAAATGCAAAGAAAATCAAATTCTCCCTCTCCCCCATTCCTAATTGACCAGGGACTGTGTTATTCTTTAAGAGGAATGCAGCTGATGGTGACTGACACATCAAGCCAGGCAGCGGAGTGTGATGAATTATTCACACTGGCTATGTCATGTTCTGCTATATTGCACCGCCAGGGGACAGGTTGATAGGCAGATATTTCCTCAGCAGCATGGGGTCTACAGCTAGGCTGCCTGGGGCGGGCAGTGACTCTCTACTTCCAAAGTATAGTTTGGGGACTGGACAAGAGCATATTTTATGCAGGTGGTTGCTGGGCTCAGAATCCCCAAAAGGCAGAGAGTAGGCAAGGGCAATTTCAGAAAAGGAAAAGTTCCCAGCAGAGCTGGAAAAGTTTCAGAAAACAACCACCAAAATAAACGAGGGACTGGACCACCTCCTCTGTGTGGCTGCAATGTTTGGCGCTATTTAGCTTAGAGAAAAGGCAAGTAAAAGGGAATATGATAGCGGTGTATACAATTAATAAATAATAATAATAAATTTTTATTTATATCCCGCCCTCCCCAGCCGGAGCCGGGCTAAGGGCGGCTAACAACAATAAAAAATACAACATTCTAAAATCATTTCATTATAAAATTAATTCAAATCAAATTGATGGCAACCATTGAGCTAGAGTTCTGTGAATATTGCCAAAGGAGGGAGTCAGGCTGCGCCCTGGCCAAAGGCTTGGTGGAACAGCTCTGTCATGCAGGCCCTGAGGAAAGATGTCAAATCCCGCAGGGCCCTAGTCTCTTGTGACAGAGCGTTTCACCAGATCGGAGCCACAGCCGAAAAAGCCCTGGCTCTGGTTGAGGGCAGCCTAACCTCTCTGTGGCCTGGGACCTCCAAGATGTTTTCGTTTGAAGATCGTAAGTTCCTCTGTGGAACATACAAGGAGAGACGCTCATGTAGGTACGAGGGTCCTAGGCCGTATAGGGCTTTAAAGATTAAAACCAGCACCTTAAACCTGATCCTGTACTCCACCGGGAGCCAGTGCAGCTGGTATAGCACCAGGTGAATGTGATCTCGCAGTGAGGACCCCATAAGGAGTCTTGCTGCAGCATTCTGCACCCGCTGGAGTTTCTGGGTCAGTCTCAAGGGCAGCCCCACATAGAGCGAGTTACAATAATCCAGTCTGGAGGTGACCGTCGCGTGGATCACAGTGGCTAGGTCAGGGTGAGAGAGGTAAGGAGCCAACTGCTTAGCTTGGCGGAGATGAAAAATGCCGCCTTTGTTATAGCTGCAATCTGCGCCTCCATGGAAAGGGAGGTGTCGAAGATTACACCCAAACTCTTAACGGACGGTGCTGGCACTAATTGCACCCCCACAAGAGATGGGAGTTGCCCCCCCAATCCCATATCATCCCATCCCAGCCACAGGACCTCTGTCTTCGAAGGATTTAACTTCAACCGGCTCCCACGTAACCATCCAGCCACAAATTCTGTACAATGTGGAGAAAGTGTGCTTCAGCTGTGGTGGGTTGAGGAAGCAAACTCTACGCCAACGATCATCAGGAAAAGAATTGAAATTACAGCTGCCAATATCATAATGCCAGTATAGAAATTGCTGGTGCAACCACATTTGGAATACTGTGTGCAGTTCTGGTTGCCTCATTTCAAAACGGATATTGTAGAGTAGGAAAAGTTGCCCAAAAAAAGGGGCAACCAAAATAATTAAGGGGGTGGAGAAACTCTCCTAGGAGGAAAGGTTGCAGTGTTGGGGACTTTTTAGTTTAGAGAAAAGGTAAATAAGGGTGGACATGATAGACATTTGTAAAGGTATGCATGGGATCGAGAAAGTGGATAAAGGAAATTTTACCTCCCATCTCTTGTAACCCTAGAACTCATGGACACTGAATGAAGCTGAACACTGGAAGATTCAGATGAAATAAAGTACTTCCTCACCTCAATGTTGTTGTTGTTGTTTACTCGTTTAGTCTTGACCGACCCTTCGTGACCCCATGGACCAGAGCACGCCAGGCACTCCTGTCTTCCACTGCCTCCCGCAGCTTGGTCAGACTCATGCTGGTAGCTTCGAGAACACTGTCCAGCCATCTCGTCCTCTGTCCTCGTCTTCTCCTTGTGCTCTCCATCTTTCCCAGCATCAGGGTCTTTTCCAGGGAGTCTTCTCTTCTCATGCGGTGGCCAAAGTATTGGAGCCTCAGCTTCAGGATCTGTCCTTCCAGTGAGCACTCAGGGCTGCTTTCCTTAAGAATGGAGAGGTTTGATCTTCTTGCAGTCCATGGGACTCTCAAGAGTCTCCTCCAGCACCATAATTCAAAAGCATCAATTCTTCAGCGATCAGCCTTCTTTATGGTCCAGCTCTCACTTCCATACATCACTACTGGGAAAACCATGGCTTTAACTATACGGACCTTTGTTGGCAAGGTGAAGTCTCTGCTTTTTAAGATGCTGTCTAGGTTTGCAATCGCCTTTCTCCCAAGGAGCAGGCGTCTTTTAATTTCACGGCTGCTGTCACCATCTGCAGTGATCATGGAGCCCAAGTAAGTAAAATCTCTCACTGCCTCCATTTCTTCCCCTTCTATTTGCCAGGAGGTGATAGGCCCAGTGACCGAGATCTTCGTTTTTTTGATGTTGAGCTTCAGACCATATTTTGTGCTCTCCTCTTTCACCCTCATTAAAATGTTCTTTAATTCCTCCTCACTTTCTGCCATCAAGGTTGTGTCATCTGCATATCTGAGGTTGTTGATATTTCTTCCGGCGATCTTAATTCCGGCTTGGGATTCATCCAGCCCAGCCTTTCGCATGATGAATTCTGCATATAAGTTAAATAAGCAGGGAGACAGTATACAGCCTTGCCGTACTCCTTTCCCAATTTTGAACCAATCAGTTGTTCCATATCCAGTTCTAACTGTAGCTTCTTGGCCCACATAGAGATTTCTCAGGAGACAGATGAGGTGATCAGGCACTCCCATTTCTTTAAGAACTTGCCATAGTTTCCTGTGGTTGACACAGTCAAAGGCTTTTGCATAGTCAATGAAGCAGAAGTAGATGTCTTTCTGGAACTCTCTAGTTTTTTCCATAATCCAGCGCATGTTTGCAATTTGGTCTCTGGTTCCTCTGCCCCTTCAAAATCCAGCTTGCACTTCTGGGTGTTCTTGGTCCACATACTGCTTAAGCCTGCCTTGCAGAATTTTAATTAAAATTCCTCACCTCAATGGAAGTCCCCAAATCAAAGGGATTGATCCTGTGACCTTCTGAATACAAAGCAGATGCTCTGCCCCTGAGCCACAGCCCCATCCATTGAGAACTTTTGCATTGTCCCCAGTGCACATGCTAATAATAATATACGAGTTGGCATTCTTGGGATCTTTGTCGTACCTTTTGAAAAGCTGGATAAAACCGCAAGTGCACAGAAAGGTCTGGACATGTACTCATGCCAGAGAGATTTCCTCAGAATATTGTCATGAGTAAAGGCTAAGCAAACTGAAGTTGTCGGTTTGGATGATTGCGGGGAAACTGATCTAGGCAGAGGGCTGTTTTATAAAAAAAAAAAACTTCCTGAACACAAGTTCACATGCCTGCCATGTTCAATCAGTGGCTCATTTGATTCCAGATTTGCCGTCAACAGGAGCTGTTCCAACCTATTGATTTTTGCAGCCGCCAACCTGTCGTCTAATAGTGAGAGGTAAGCAAGGGAAAATGGAGATGTGATTTAGCAAAACCCCAAGCAAATTGAGTGCTTGGCAAATCAACAATGCCCCTCTACATCTAAATTATATATTGTCATGGAAATCATCCAAAAGCGGTACATCCTGACCACAGGATTTAAAGTCCAGTTCTTGAAATGATTTGCTTGGGGGGTTTTTAGGGGGGTGGGGAGAAAACAGAGGAGGCCACGTTGCCCCATCATGAGGCAAACAGACACCAAATTTATGAATTGAATTCAATGCCATGGATGTTGTGTGACATACATGCAGGTCCTCCTTTCTGAACACAGTGCATTGCCAGGAAATTGTTTGTTAGATGAGCTTTCATATAACGAACTGCCGGCTTCCATTATTTCCTATGGAAACATTTCTAATCAGTGAATTGTCCAGTCTCCCTCCCCACTCCCTCCAAGGTTTCTTCCTGACATAGCTTCAGCCAACCAGCAATATCTCTCTCCCTCCTTCCCTCCCTGCAGGGTTTCTGCCCCCAAACAGCTGAGGGGTGATATATGATAGCCATCTTCAAATATCTGAAGGGCTGTCACATGGAAGATGAAGCAAACTTGTTTTCTCCCGCTCCACTGGGTAGATCCTGTGGGAATGTTTGGGGAGGCAGGAGAGGATATATTGTTTATTAATATCTTTCCTAACTTGCGCTAGCAAGTTCTATAACTTAGCAGAGTTTTACATTCCCCTTTTAAACGCACAGCGGGTAGCTGGTTGCAGGCTTGTTTAAGCCTCGCAATATTAGTGACCTGGTAAGTTCCCTTATAGGGTCACGGGTGGCACTGTGGGTTAAACCACAGAGCCTAGGACTTGCCGATGAGAAGGTCGGCGGTTCGAATCCCCGCGACAGGGTGAGCTCCTGTTGCTCGGTCCCTGTTCCTGCCCACCTAGCAGTTCGAAAGCACGTCAAAGTGCAAGTAGATAAATAGGTACCGCTCCAGCAGGAAGGTAAACAGCATTTCCGTGTGCTGCTCTGGTTTGCCAGAAGCGCCTTAGTCATGCTGGCCACATGACCCGGAAGCTGTACGCCGGCTCCCTCAGCCAATAAAGCGAGATGAGCGCCGCAACCCCAGAGTCAGCCATGACTGAACCTAATAGTCAGCTTTACCTTAAGTTCACTTATATCCCTCTTAAACGAAGAAACATGCCACAATCTTGTGTAAGGTGTATAAAAGTAGTTTACTCACATTCTGTTCACTGTTGGATCCCTGAAGGCAGACTTAGTTACAGATATATATGTGCATCTACCCCATATGGGGGGTTAATCCCAGTGACTGCAGACTGGTAGTCACTGCAGTTCACACAATGAAAGGAAGATGGAGGAGGAGGAGGGGAGGAGGGCTGTGTGCCTTGTACTTTTGTTACCTGCACAGGTAACGTCACGCCCACCTCTAATCACATGCAAGAGGAAGTATGTCCCAGTCCAGGAGGAAACAGGAAGTTCCGACTGGCTGAACCAAACATCCCCTTGCATGTCCACTCTAGGAATACAAGAAATGTCATATTTGACTGCTACTTATGTATCACATCCCACAGATCCCATATATCAATGGCTTCAAGTTACAAGAAAGGAGATTTCAACTAGACATCAGGAAGAACTTTCTGACAGTAAGAGCTATTTGACAGTGGAACAGACTGTCTCAGAAGTTGGTGGACTCTGCTTTCTTGGAGGTTTTTAAACAGAGGTTGGGTGGCCATCTGTCAAGAATTCTTCAGCTGAGATTCCCGTGTTGGACTAGATTACCATTGGGTTCCCTTCTAACTCCACAATTCTATTAATCCTGCAGGATATGCTGGCAAATGTCTTTTGTTCCAGGGCCCCTGTAACATTTAATTCCTTCCATTGCAGCCTTTTTCTCCCCCAAAATTCAATGCAACTTGAGTCCTCTACATTCGTACTGATGTTCGCTGCCATGTACAGATTGTAATTCAATGAGTCAGGCACTCCTGCACTCTCTGAGGCAGTGTTCTGATGGAACAACTGGCATTAAAATCCAGTTATGTTATTAATACCGAGGTTATCATTGTATGGATCATGATAACATTGGGAAAGGGAATCATTTCATTGCTTCAAAACATTGATTTTGGAAAGTTATCAAGACAAAAGTGAGCCGAGCCAAATTCAGATGAAATTGCCCTTCTTCCTACCTCCCAACATCCACAACTTCATTTGAAGGTTGAACTAGAGTCTAAACAGGAACATCTGTTCGGAGGCCACATCTGTGCATGAGAAGGGGCCATATGCAATTCAATGTGGTGCTCCGTGGTGAGGATAGCAGGTGGAATCCCAATTTCTCACCACCACCTCACTCCAGGCCATTCATGGACTGTCTGAAGGGAGCTAGTCGGCTACCCAATAACTGATTTGCTACTTTGATCCAGGGAGGGATGTGTGTCTTCAAGATGAGGGTGAGATACCTACAACCTTGCATTTTATTAATTCGTAAGCAAAATGGTTTTAGAAGCTCCAAACGAGAACTGTGACAACATGTTGCTGTGTGGAGTGCTTTCACTCACTGTTCCAGTCATTCAGCCATGCTCTCCTTCCTGCAGGATCCATTCCTGCCCCAAGAGGCATTCAGCACTCCACGGCCATTGAACATGTTCAGTCCTCTAAACATTGTTTTTAATTGCACCCCAAAGAAGCAGATAAAGTTATTTGTGTCACAAAGTGTGTACACTGCTCCAAAGTGGTCCTAGAAGGTCTCATTGTCTGCGTATGACTCCAGTAATACGTGCAGACGCCAACTCAGGTTAGATAACCTCTCCAGAATGATTTATGAGAAAATAACTGATACAGGGTTGCCATATTTTGAAGAGCAAAATAAACAGGACAGCCCATGCATGGACAAATCATGAAATAACACAGTCTATGGGCTTTACAAGAGAGCCATTCCATCTAAAGATCTGCCCCATCCCAGCATGACATTTGTTGATGAGCCCCATCCCAGCATGCACCATGTGGTTACACCATAGAAATAGGAAAAGGTTAAGAGTGATCCTCGCATGCACATTTCTTGGCTCCGCTTGCAAAGCAAGGCCTTGCATGACCAGGCCACAACAGCCACAGCCCCCAGGGATCATAAGGAAGGAATAAAGACTCTGTCAATGTGTTATTAAATTAAAATTAGGCCACAACTTTATTAAACTTCTGAATGTAGGGAGACCTTGGCTTAGGCCTTGGGCATGTATCCTTCCCAGCCCCCCAGCTGGGGGAACTGGGGCTCATCAGGGTAAATGGGATATGGGGGTGCTCTGTGAGACATATGTGTAGCAGGCAGCCCACCCCATATGCTTGCATGCAGGGTAGTTCACTGATGAATTTGCAGTGTATGGCCAGTGACACACACACATATATATATATATATATATATATATATATATATATACCCCTTTTAAGAGGGGACCCTGGAATCACCATGGGAGGGTGAATCACCACTTCAGCCCCCCCCCCCCATTATAGGGAAGAAAAGACTAAAGGATTCCACCCAAGGCCATAAACCGCCAAAGTTGTGACAAACTGCTATGGGGAAGACAAAACCTGCCAATGAAGGAAAATTTCTTCCCGGTCCTTCAACAGCAGCCAGTCAAAGATCTCAGCAGAGCCCGCTAAACAGGAAGAAAAAGTTAACCTGCAAACAAGAAAACATTAAACTAAGGGTGGGGGTGGAGAGTGAATCTCCTGAGTCGACTCCCTGGCTACTGTCGACTCTACCCCCTATATATAATTGAGACTGGCCCCCCTCCCAGCAATGAAACTTGACTACTGAGGCTGGGCGTGAACCTCCAAATAATAATACTGAGAGGCAGGCCAGTCCCTGTTTGCCAGTACGTTCCCTGGGAACTGTAGCCCCGCGCGCGATCCCTCAAAGGGCACCCACAATGTAAAGTGTGAGTGCTCATTGTACAGAGAGCAGGCATGCCCAGAGAGATAAGAAAAAGTAAAGAGTGATACACACACACACACACACACACAAACTTCCTGGTTCTGTTTGCAAAAACCTGGACATTTTGCCGATTTTTAAAAATTCCCCCGGATGGTGACTTTGCCCTTAGAATTCCAGACATGTATGGGGAAAAGCAGACATATGGCAACGCTAAGCTGATATCCTGAAGGCTGAAGTAGGGACAAAAGAGGTGTCCTTAGTGCCAGTCAGGGGCTCCCCACAAAATTCCTATTCAATCTTGGAAAAAGTGACTTGTTCAAGCCAACATTATACAGGGAGGGGAGGCACATTGATGCAAAAGGTTATTTATTATTATTTATTAGATTTATGGGACGCGGGTAGTGCTGTGGGTTAAACCACAGACCTAGGACTTGCCGATCAGAAGGTCGGCCGTTCAAATCCCCGCGATGGGGTGAGTTCCCGCTGCTCAGTCCCTGCTCCTGCCCACCTAGCAGTTCGAAAGCACGTCAAAGTGCAAGTAGATAAATAGGTACTACTCCGGCGGGAAGGTAAACGGTGTTTCCGTGCGCTGCTCTGATTCGCCAGAAGCGGCTTAGTCATGCTGGCCACATGACCCAGAAGCTGTACGCCGGCTCCCTCGGCCAATAAAGCGAGATGAGCACTGCAACCCCAGAGTT